GGAAAGAGTTTCTGAAGAAATATTAGCACTGTAACTTTTCTTAAAAGCTATATTCACTTACAGAGCAGGAGGGTAGAAAGAATAATAGTATAAATAAATAGATTCAGAAAGTTGGAAATGAACTCTTTTCAGAGCTGGTAATGGCTCTTCCATGTCAGTGTATACAAAGATATATTACAGTTGAAAGATATATGAAAAAGATTAAATGGTTCATTGTTTTTTTAGTTACATTGTATGTGACTTTGGATGTTTTAAATGCGCATATTAAGCAGTAATAAACATTAATTAAAAGAAGAATGTTCTATAGCATCAAAGGTAAAGAAAAGTAGGATGCTACATACAAAGTTACCACACAAAAAAAACCAACTGGAAGCAATCAAAAAGTCTTGTAATGTATAAAGGACATTTAAAATAATGAAGCCAGTTTTAAAGATGCCTTAACCTGATGAGTACAATCAGGTTTGGTCATAAATGATAGCATTTTCATTAGCTTACCATAGACATGCTCAATTAGACATTTCAATTCTAAAATTTCCCTCTCCATCCCGCATTCCTAGTTGATATTTGCACCTGACTGTGGAAGGAAAAATGTTGAAGTAAAATTAAAGGCTGCTTATGAAAATATGGCATTCAATTTCTTATGATGAGTGCAGCGTATCGTATTTTTCTCTTGACATTTTGCATCATAGACTTGAAAGAAATATCTAAATAAATCAAATCAGATTTGGGAAGAACTCATTATAGGCACAATCTTCCTCATGCTGAATGTAGCTGCATTTCATCAACTGTATATGTGGCATATTGATAACACATATGGTGTTGTATGTGTAAAATGAACAAAACCTTATGTCCACTATAGGACAGGCTGTGGACTTTCTTCCATATTCCAAGCAGGTTCGTGCCCCATGGCAAGTGCATGCTGTAATACAGTGTTTCTCAACCAGTCCGACACATCCCACTGGTGGAATGTGAAGGTCGTGTAAGTGGGACTTCAACTCACTGCTTAATGATTAATATAATACTAAAGTACATGTAAATGTAAAAATACACTTCTTGGAAAAGGTGGGGTTTTGCTTTTATCATGGTGGGACCAGAGTTTTTTGACAAAATGGTTGGTGGGATGTAAGGTGTAAAAGGTTGAGAACTACTGCTGTAATGTATATGGTGCATGCCTTTTGAACCGTGCAGAACTAGTTCTCATGAAAATATCTTCCTGATGGAGTGATGCTGACTAACTTTTTGTAAAGAGCAGTACTGCATTTGGAGAGCAGGAGCAGCTTTGAACAAGTGTCAAACATGTTGGCCCATGGGCCAGATCCAGCAGACAAGAGTTGGGTCTCCAGGCCCATTGGGTTCTTCTGGGCTGGATGGCTTTGGACCTTGGGGCTCATTGCTGGAGCTGCTGTTTCAGCGTGGCTTTGGAATCCGGGAAGTTAATGCCACACACCTCCCTGCCACTTTGAAATCAGGGTCTTTAATCACCCTGGGGGACTAAAATTGGTGGCAGGGGGGAAAGGGAGATAAGCAGCAACAGTGTTAATTTGCCTGGGTTTTGGAAACTCACTGATTAGCAACCATGAGGATTAATACCACTACCCCTGCTCACGAATCATCTGGTCTGGTCTGTGGGAAGCCCTGCACTCCAGATCTTGCTTGCAGGAACCCATGATAGTCTGGATTGGGTCCATGGGGCCAAACAAGTCCTGCCTTTCAACAAGGAAACAATGGGGGAATAAGAGTCTATCACCAGAGTTCAAGTGAAAAAAAGTTGGAGCCAGGTACTGTGTGACTAGTCGCACAGAAGAAATCTACTCTATAAAAGGAATGATGAAGTGACTCTGAAGCAGGCATGTAGAAATCCCTCTGCGTTGTTTCTGGAGTTAAGAGGCCTGCTTCTCGTTTACCCAGGTGTTTGTGTTGAGTGTCACTTGGTTGCCAAAAGAGAGAAGGGAACAAGTAATAGGTAGGTATGGCATCTCATGCAGTTTGTTAGCTATTTTCATCAAGCAGCCAATGCTTTGTAGTGCCTCCTCTGCTCCCCTGATCTTCAACAAAATACAGACACAGACGTGTATCCTGCCTCCCTGCTGGTGAGGTACACATGGGGACTAGCTTCTCTATTTATTATTCTTACAAATACATGCTGTCAAGCTTTTAATTTCTGTACATCACCCATGCACATCATCCACTCTGCATTCTCCCAAGCACTCTGACAATCGTGACAGCACAGACAGTGCAACTCTACTGTGGCAGTTTCCTAGGTAACCAGCAAAGAGACTCCACACAATGGAAAGAAACCAAAAGATACGCAACATTTCCCATTCTTCCTCTCTGTCTTTGAAATGTTAAATAATAATATTAAATACTAAAAAAAAGTTCCAAAAACCCCAGACCTGAAAACATTGTAACAAAATGTAAAGACCAGATGACAGCAGGATGCTTTCCAGTGACAAGGGCTCTCTTGAAAGAGGATGGAAATTGCTTGCTGTGCAAGGTTGACTCCTTGTGCCTCTGATTCTTTTCATCCTACTAAAAAAAAAAAAAAAAAATTTGACTTCTGTACTCTTTTCCAATCTGCAGCTGGGAAATGATGTAAGATCCCAGCCTGTAGAACCAAAAGCTCTATACTCCTTGTGCCTTTCTTGTCTGCTTTTCCTTATTTTGAGTAGACTAGCACTGCAGTGTTTTGCAAAATCCTTCATCCTAAAATTCCTCCTCCATTGCAGGCACAAGAGTGGTTTTGTTTAAAACAGTCAGAGGTATTTGAGGGGTAAGGGTGGGTTTGAGGGTGGCTGTTGGTATTGCCTTGTTGTAAATGTCTTTAAGTTCCACACTTTTTTTTTCCTAGGATGTTTTAAATGTGAACCTGTAACATTCACCAGGAATAATTGCCAGGAGCAAAGGCCAGTGCTTAATTATTAACACGACATGCTTTCTTAATTTCTTATTTTGCTCTCTGTCATTTTGAATTTCAGGCCACATTTATTTAAAGTCAGAGAAGGAAAGTAAATTTTCTGCTTTGTTCCACTCTGTTCTATCCTATTCATTTAGGAGTTGTGCTATAGGTAAACAAGGAGGCCTAAAATGTGAGTCACAGCTGACCAGCTTATCTTGTTGCAGATTGTCTTTCCATTTCAGGTTGAAAGAACTGTTTATAATATCTTATAGCAGTGACTCTGGTTCTGTATATAAAAGTAAAACCTACAGTTCAGTAGGGGTTTGTCATACTTTCTATTCCTTGTATATCGTATAAGAAGATTAGGCTATACACTGAGAAGGCAAACACCACAGTGTAATAAATGATTTTTTTTTAAGTACTAAATATCATGTTCTAACCATGCACTTCTGAAACCTTGTGTATCTTGATTTGGTTTAATTGGTTTAGGCAAAAATACTTTAAAGCAATACTAGACCACATGTAAAGATACCTTTCAAACTGCCCTCATTATGTCCATAAGCAACTAGCATTCTTGAAAACTGTCATTTATGAGCGGCCTTTTTATTTAACTGTCTAAAATTTTAACCTATGTCTCATGTCTGGCTGACTTGTCTTAGCCTAATTGCAAAGAGTTCAGCCTGTTTGCTTGTTGGGAAATGTTCTTTTTCCTTTTCACATCCAGTACTCTTGTAGTAACTGTGAGAAAGTAGAAATAGACTAGATGATTATCCTGGAACAAAGACACAAATTCATCCTTTGGGAATTTTACCAGAGTTTTTTCTCCATGTAAATTTACACAGGTTAAAGACCCCGAACTACTTTTAAGGGTCTAACCCACAGGTCAGATCCAGCCCATGAAGAGTCTTTGTCCAGCCCTCAGTGGGTCCCTCGGTCCCACCTGGTACAGGCACCGCCAGCCCATGGCACATCTTGCCACCCCCTGGGCATGCAGCAAGGCTGGGGTAGCTCTGCAGCTGGACTACTTTTCTAGGCAGCCCAGGTGGCGGTGGCTGCTGCTGGGACCCACAAGCACAGCCCCAACCCTGGCCTGCCCCACACGTGCCCCCAACCGCCCA